TGTGGCATGTCACATTTCATACATCGTTGAAGGCTTATGCTCTGGCCTGTATTGGTAAGTTATTGAGGGCTTATGCTCTGGCCTGTATTAGAAACTTGTTGAGGGCTTATGCTTTGTCCTGTATTGGCAACTTGTTGAGGGCTTATGCCCTGGCCTTATATGTCAATTTGTTGGGAGAGGGCTTATGCCCTGATGGTACCACATGCATCTTGTATCAGAGTCAGTTGCACTGCATTTGTTGAATTATTTAATTGTATAATTGTTGAGTTGAATGTCTGATGATTATCGAACTTAAAATCTTGTATAATATACTTGTTGTTTACTCATGATTATATGACTAATTATATTGTCATGATATCTCACCCTTATTGTTTGAATGCTGCCTCTACGTGGGTAACATGTAGATAACCAGGAGTAGTGCGAAGTCACGGAGTCTAAAAGCGGTTGCTCTTCTTATTTTGAGTTAGTGTCATTGCTTTGATACGTAACACCGGGGGGGATGAATGTTTAATTGTTTTATTTAATTGATGTTTTTATTTTGGATTATTGTGGGAGTACTATAGACTCTATTTTTATTTGATTAAAAATGTTATTTTGCAATGAGTTAATGATGTTGAAAACAATTTATGAATTTCTTTCTGCTGCATTAATAAAGTTAAAGTTTGAAGACTATGTTGAAATATTGTCGATTCATCTGAAATATGTGTTATATATTCGTTTAATTATAATTGAGCAAAGTTTGAATATGTTGAATGATGTAACATCCTATTCTGGGAGTTTTATTTTACTCTAATTTTTATTAAAATTATCGTTGGGGAAATAAGGTGTTATAAGTCACACTTCTAATATTCCTATTGATACAACATGCCTATTGTACTACATGATTAAGGGTTAGCAAATTGATGTGGCTCATGTTATATCTAATGAGATTTGAAAAATAACAATCAGTGGACATTCTCATGGTAATACCGCGATGACTCTTGGATTTCCCGCTCTTATTACGGGGCTGTGTAGGAAAGCGGGGGTTGATATTCCAGATGTTGCTACCAAGAGGATCAGTAATGTTGTGAATGAGGATTATGTTCTTCGACATTGTGTGTCGAAGTTGACCATTGAGGCAACCCCTCAACCTCATGCGCACGCTCCTCTGGCAGGTCCGGTTCGGTATAATGAGCAACAAGCATGTGTTTACAACTGGAAGATGATAGAGGCTCAGATGAGAGCTTCTTTCTTCATTCATGATTCTATACAGATGTTATATCATCATCAGGTTGCACCAAAGGAGGTTCTGACTTTTCTGACTCGGGAGGAGTTTTCTGCTTATGCAAATTACCCCGTGGATAGGTCATTCTTCCAAGAGGGGGAAACAACTAATGATGCGAGTGGTGATGAAGAGCAAGAAGATGAAGAAGTTGTGGGGAGAGATGACGAGTTAAGCAGTTGACTTGGCGGGGATTGGTTTGTCGTGATTATTATTATTATGTTTTATGTTTTATTTAATTTTTTGTTTTTAATTTTCAGACTATTATTTTGATGTTGTTCCATCCTTTTAAGGATGATTTTTTATGGTGTATTGTGGTTGTACTTTGGTTCCATCCTTTAAAGGATGTGTGGTGATACTTTTGGAGACATTTTATGCCATAAATGCTTTTGGTACACCACTTTGAGGTGTTCTTTGGATTTTTAACTTTAAGGCATTACATTAGTAAGTTTAAATTGTGTATAGAGTTGGTTAGTTTGTTTTAAATTTCTTTTTAGAAAAAAAAAAGCAAAAGCTTGATGTTTTGATCCATAGTTTGACAACTTTGAAGGAACCAAGTGAACTTGTACAAATGCGGTTCAACTTGCAATTGAGTGGTGATGATATAAATTAAATTATAGTAACAACTTCAAGGTACATGTTTATTGCTTTATAAGCTTAGCATAAATATGAAACTTGTGGTATGTGCATAATGTTATACCTTTAATTCTTCTACAATACTTGTCAATTGTGAATCACTTTAGAACTTAGCCTTGTGTGAGGTTGCTTTTCATTATGCATTAAAATGCGGGAAACCAACATTCTTGTTAACTCGATCTTATTATGTTTAATCATGCATGTGTGTTGATGCGTGAAATTTGGAAAATGATCAAAGACATTTCTTGTTTTATTTTGAGAAAAACCACTTAAACCAAATGAATAATCAATCTACCTTGAGAATGAGTGATCACTTGTTAGCCCTTATTGAGTCTTTCTATCAAGATTCTTGTGATGGTTAAATTGTGTAAATATTGAAAATGAATAACAAATTCATCATTAAGTTTTTAGTAAGGATCTTGATTTTTGTTTGAGAAATTTGTGAATCCTCAACCTCAATGTGGTTGCTTTTATTTTTCCTTTGCCTTAGTGTATGGGAATATTCTTGCTACTATGTTGGATTGTATTCAAAGTTGGGGAGAAATATGTAGGTTGTTTGTTGAGAAAGAAAAGTGGTTGAAAGAAAAAGAAAAGAAAAAGTGAAAAAATGATTGAGAAAAAGAATCAATGAAATTGAGATCTTAAAATGAAAAAGAATTGAAAAGTCAAGGGCATAAATTGTGCTGGCATAACAGCTCATGGTAGTATGTTATATCTAAGAAAAGAATACAAGAGGGATAAAAATGTTTGAATTGTGTATTGGTGTAAACATTGAATGTTCTCATGCATTAGGAAATTTAGTTTTAATTACCTTGAGAAACATCCCTTCATTATAACTAAGTCAAATTACAACCCTTTCAATGCATTGTGATTCTTGCTTAGCGCGTTTGATGCTTTTTGTATGATGAATGCATGATTTAATCCAGATATTGGCATGATTGTTGGATGAGTGAAAAAGCCTTTTTATTGTTTATCATCCATTGATGAGTGTGTGTTTAGGTGTGATTCATTTTTGAGTTGTATTATTTTAGAAATTTTGATATTTATTTTGCACTTAATCATTGTTTCATGCTTATGATTTTGATTTAGTTAGTGGTAAGCATTATCTTATTTGTTCTTGTTCATCGAAGCATTGGAGCTTTGGGCAAGCTAGAGCCAAGAGTGTGGTGCAACAAGTCAAAAATTAAAGATTTTTCAGGCTAGCGCGCTAAGCGTAATTTGCAGCGCGCTATGAAGATTTGCATATTTGGTAGAATGTCATTTTTGGGCCCGCTAAGCGGCCTCGTCCCGCTTAGCATGGTCCACTGAATCAGGAAAATATATTTTCGTTGAGCCCGTTTAGCGCACTCGGGCCGCTTAGCGGGACTCACTTTTTGGGCACTTGTATAAGTAGCATTTTTTGTGATATTTTGGAAAACAACTCTTATCAAACACACAAAAATCAGATATTTAGGTCTAAGAAATACTTTTTATCATTTGTAACTCAAGATCAAAGATTTCTACCTTAAATCTTTTATTTCTACTTTATGTTCATCAAGCTTTCTACTTTACTTGTTGATCAAATTACCATGGTGATGGGTAGCTAAATCCATATTTGTGTAAGATTAGAGGTAGATAATCTTCATCTTTGTATGTATTAGCTTGATATTTTGTATGTGAACATGTTGATGATAAATATATGGTGAAAACTCTTGTTTTATGGTTTATATTTGAGTTGATCATTATTGAGAAGTATGTTCATCTCTTGACCTAGGTTTTCACTTATCAATGAGCAATTTCTAGACATAGTTTTGTTAGTTGATATTCACTAATATTGAGCTTTTAAAGTTATCAAATTGATAGTTAGGTAGAGAGATCATCTAAGGATCAATTTGATAAAGCTCGCAATTTGTTTTAGAGATGAAACATCTTGAGAGGATATGTGATTATGTTTATTGTTAATGAGTTCACATACTTTATAGAAAAAATACGTCCGAAAGAGATTATCGAGCCCTAATCTTGACACACTTTTACCAAACATTTAAAACCGAAACTTTCTTTTACCTATACTTGATACTTTACATGAAATCGACATTTTCCGTTACTAAAATAAAAACCAAACCCTTTTATGAAACTTAAGCTTAAAACAATTATAACCGTAGAACGAAGGTAATATCACACCAATCTCTGAAAAATAATAATTAAAATACTTGCCATGTAAAGTGTTTTCAACACCCTATGATCCACAATAATAAATATTGGAAAGTGCAAACTGCACCATCAACAATCAAGATCTTACTTTAAATTGTTCAAAATTCTTGAATACTCTAGTACATGAAAGCATCATTGTTTACAGACATAGGGCCATACGTCGAGGTTCTCCTTATAAATGTTGCTAATCACGAGAGAAATGTTTAATGCGCATGTTCCCAATATTATTGATGTCCCTTCAAAGCCGGAATAAAGACATGCATGTCAAACCCTTATTTTACAAGTATGAATTAAGGCTTAGGAAGAAACTGTTATGGACCGCTCGTAAGGCTCATGATGAAAGGCCCAATAACAAACATCACACGGAAAGACGCACAAAACAAGTGAGATATAAAAATTTTATATTCATAAAAGTGCTTACAAATTGTGTATCCCATGAGCTTATTGATGTTAAATCGTTTAGACATCTTATACCTTGGCACTTCATTTGAAAAATTCAAGTACCACCAAAGATTTGAAACATGATATGAAGAGTATGTAGAAATTGCATCTCTATTCAACATAGACTTCAATATAAAGTCATAATTTGTCCCAATATTATGTGTTATGTGATAATGATACATAAGATTTTTTTCATATTCTTTGTGAGAACAACGACAATAGGGTCGATGCTACTACAACCTTTTTCAACATAATTCAAAGTTTGTCTAAAGTGAATTACTATCTTTTTGCTACTATTATTTAGAGTATTCAAAAGCAAAGAAACAACAAGATTTGGAACAATATTATCGATCAATAAATGACATTTCTTAATAAAGCGTACAAGTTATTCCAATCCTAGCAAACTCCTTAAGAATGCAAAACAATATCTCCTCACATTAATCAACTTACTTCTTGTGATAAATATTTTGCAATGGCATCATCTTCATCAATGAGCGCTTTGAAGCTAAAGGCGGTGTCAGCAGCAAACCCTAACGACACCGCAACAAAGGCTGAGACGGTGGATCTCGGAAACGGAAGCGACGTCGTTTTCATTCAGAGGCTAATACCTTCGGAACAATCATGGAAATGGTTCCATTACCTCGATAAGCACGTCCCATGGACCCGACCCACCATTCGCGTCTTCGGTAAATCATTCCTCCAGGTCTCCCTCTCTTCATTTCAACCCGTTCCAAATTCTGGGTTCCCTAAAAAATTTCATCTTTCTCTTCATTCACCCTTCAAATCAATGCTCCTAACTATTAATCCCAATTTGAATTTTTTTTGTTGTTATGTAATTATATGCAGCCTCGAGACACATGTTATGTTGCAACTTCAGGATTGACTCAGTTGAGTTATAGTGGATATCAGCCACATGCATATTCATGGGATGATTATCCACCACTTAAAGACATCTTGGATGCTGTAAGGATTGTTTGTTAATGAGTTTTTCACTTGTGTTTGTTGATACTGACTCTTTCTGCATATGTTATGCATAGCCGGTCCTAAGACCAGATAAAAGGAGAGGGTTGTGTTACATAGTTGACATCTAACGTAAAACTTTGTCGAATCTCATTGACATGAGTCAGGTACGAAATAATGTGAATGCTAGGTCGTTGCCTGCAAGCGTCAGGTACGAAATAATGTGAATGCTAGATCGTTGCCTGTAAGCAACACGCTGTATGGCTCAAGGACAATGTTAAAAATGCAAGGGCCACTGCATCGCCGCCTGGATGGAGTGAAAAATTAGCCACCCCACTTAGTGGAATAAGGCTTGGTTGTTGTTGTTTGTTGATGTTTAATGACACCAGTTTGGATTAGCTTTCAGTTTATAGGAATTTCGCTATCAAAATAAGTTAAGGTTTTTTGCATAGAAATAAGTTATTTTGAGCCTGTTGAAGTTTATAGAGAAGCTAAATGAAAGTGCTTTTGAAATTGAGATGTAGAAGCTAACACTTTAGTTAAGAGTCTCTTTGGATTGACTTATTTGAGTTTATTTACTAATACAAACACGTGTGAAACTATTTGGAAGAGCTTATAGAAACAATTATGACGTGTCCATAAATTATTTTCAGCTTTTTTCTAGAAGCTCTGCAGAATAGCTTATAAAACAGCTTATATAAAAACAACTCGAATACATTTTATCTTGTGTTATAGAAATAGTTTATATATAAGCACTTATGTGATAAGTTTTATACTATAAGCACTAAATTAAGTTGTTTATCCAAACAAGGTTTTTTTTTGTAAGATTTTCTTTGAATTAGTTTTTTTACTTTTTCTCAAGTGTTTCTTGATAGGTTTATCCAAACAAACTATTAATATTTCCTTTTACTTGTTTCTGAAGGTACATAAAGCTCTACCTGGAAGTAGTTTTAATAGCTTACTCTTGAATAGGTATAAGGGTGGTAATGACTATGTTGGTTGGCATGCCGACGATGAGAAGCTATATGGACCAACTCCTGAAATTGCTTCTCTATCTCTCGGATGTGACCGCGACTTTGTTTTGAAGAAGAAGCCATCTAAAGAATCTCGCGGTATGGTTTCTTCTCTAACCTCTAACTAGAGTTAAATTATCACTGCACTTCTTTCTATGTGGATGTGTAATCCGACAGTGTTATTGAACATATTATCATTTGGTGTGGATTTTCAGATGGAAGTGATGAACCTGCGAGCAAGCGATTAAAGAAGAGTGGCCGTGATGATCAACATTCTTTTAGGCTTAAGCATGGATCCCTTTTGGTGATGAGAGGCTACACACAGCGAGATTGGATTCACTCTGTACCAAAGCGTGCAAAAGCGGAAGCAACACGCATTAATCTCACCTTTAGGCGAGTTTTTTGACTGGCTTGGGATAAAGGCCACTTTTCAGTAGATGCTTATGCATTGTTGTAATCTGCATCCTGCAATACAGGTGGAATATTTGTCTTGTTTCTGTCAAGTATATATGGAATGGTTTAAGAAGTTTGGAACACAATTTCTATCTACGGTGAACACGCTGTAGACGGGTGATTGGATACATTGAACTAGTTAGACAGAGATGTTGAAATGTGATCTCAAGTACACATTTGAAACAACTTATAAGAAAACTAAGTAAACCATTGCATACAACTATGTTTCACAAATGTTTTCAAACTAAGATTTAGATTGTTAGCTGAAATTCAAATCTACAAATCTCTATTTGTGTTTGTATGTTATATTTGCAATCTTTAACTAGGGTGATAACTTCCGGAAGAGTTACCATCTGAAAAATCATTCATGCTGACTAGAGTTAGAGAGAGAAACTCTGACTTCTCTCTAACTTTTGTTCTTCGTCCATTATCTTCATCTTCATACATCATTTTCCAACATGCAATTCAAATATTCACCTCTGCATAACCATCTATGTTAGAACCTTGCATGCATCAACTCGTTCACCAAATATTTGCATTTTTCTGAGAAAATAAATCTTCATGTTTCTTCTCTTGATATGGATTATGAGTGCATCAACTTGAATCCATACTTCTCTCCCTGCATATTTACCCTTGCTTTATGATATTACAAGTGAACTAACTTGAGGTCATATCATATTTTCTTGCATTTATTAACATTCATATTCATGTTAATCTTCTCATGCATTGCACTGTC